ACGCGACGCGAACGGACGACATAAGTAAATGACACATCCAAACATGATCATCACGGAATGCGTGTCATGTAAAACATGACAACATGCCACACTGATGATGTGCTCGCGGCCGTTTCGCTAGCTTCACATGTACCAAACTTGGTATTACGCGACGCGAACGGACGACATAAGTAAATGACACATCCATACATGATCATCACGGAATGCGTGTCGTGTAAAACATGACAACATGCCACACTGATGATGTGCTCGCGGCCGTTTCGCTAGCTTCACATGTACCAAACTTGGTACTACGCGACGCGAACGGACGACATTTATTATGTAAATGACACATCCAAGCATGATCATCACGAAATGCGTGTCATGTAACAACATGACAACATGCCGCACTGATGATGCGCTCGCGGCCGTTTCGCTAGCTTCACATGTACCAAACTTGGTATTACGCGACGCTAACGCACGACATAAAGGCCAAACCCCATAAGCGCGAAAATGCACGCGACAGCGACAAACGACGCGACGTAGATCGGCTTCGCGCGATCAGTCGCTAGCGCAGGCAAACCTCATTCACGCGACGGCTTCGGCGAGCGAATTCCACTGTTGCTGGCATGAGGCCGTCTACTCGCACCAAGAAAACCGCGTAGCGAGCGGTATGCAATTTAAAAATAAGATATATTGTTGTGTAATGAAACGGAAAGTGTTTATTATTGCCTTGCAGCCCTTCTTTATATGCACATGCGTAATAAACATTGCGTTATTTCTTGTTGCGCATACGTGACTCGGGCGGGGTCACGTGCACCTATGTAGTCTGTCTTTTCCGGTATTTCGCTATTGGCTGCTTGAGCCCAGCACTTCCGGGCTCGTGTCTTTCGTGTCCTTCTTGTCTCTGTGTCGTCGTTTTGTTCTCGCACTATAACTATCGTCATGCCTACTGCAACGTTTTACCGGACGCTACAGTGCCAGCGTCAGTCATGCAGTTGGTAGGTCGGCAGGGTGTGTGATCTTTGTGCGGGATAGTTTTGGGGGCCACTGTTCAAAATGTCACGTCTTATTCGTCCGGTAGGTTTGTTTGTGATTTGGCCTTCTTTTGTCGAAATTGGCGAGTGATTTGTTTATATGCACCTGTTAAAGGTTATGAACGGTGCGCAACATTCGAAAAAATTTGTGTTTATTGTGAATGCTATCGCATATAGTTATCCTGATGGGAGATTTTAATTGTGTGATCAGTGCCGATGATAAAACATGTACATCCAATTTCAACGACTCAAGCACAGTTGCGTTAAAGAATCTAATGCATGACTTAGACGTTGAGGACGTTGCAGAGTGTATTGGTAAAGGACCAACACTGTATACGCATCAAAGCTCCAGTCATGCGCGCCTATAGGTAGGGCCCACGTGTCACTGGAAATAAGTTCCGATTATCAGTGAGTACAATGTCCTCCCTGTGTCATTTAGTGATCACTGCTTAGTATCGTTTGTAATTGGCAAAAGAAACAGACGTAGACCAGTATTTAACTTCGACATGTGGAAGCTTAATTCTTATCTCTTGGAAGATGAGATATTTATGAAAGTGTTCGAGAGGTGCTGGTAAACATTGACAGTGGAGACCAAAAATGCGGAGCGAAATGTTAACTATTTAAACAGGTTATTGAATTGAAAGCTATAGAGCGCTCAAGTGTAATAAAGCCCGCAAAGATTGACGAAGAAATAATCCATACGCTTAAATCTGAAGGAACTGCTAGCAGAGCAAAGCAAAACCCATGGCTTATTCATTAATGATATAAGGTCAGTAAAATAAAAATTGGAACAAATTCAGGAGGAGAAGTATCGTGGTGCGCAGATAAGGGCAAGGGTGGAGAGAATGACTGCAGGAGAGAAGCTGACCAAAAGAAAGCTCGGTCTCGAAAAACGAAACGCTCAGCGGAACGCTATACATCAGATTGAATACAAGGGCAACGTTACAAGTGAACAGAGACATATAGAGGACGCTTTCAATGAGTACTACACCACACTATTTGATAAAAGTGAAGTAAACGTAGATGGATTCAAGAATGAGTTTTTCAAAATTAATGCCAAAGGTGTAAGATTGCAGGAAGGACAGTTTAGAACTACGTATTTCTGAACTGGAAGTGGCAAAAGCAATCATTGCCCTCCATTTGGGAAGGCTGCATTATATAAGGAATTAAAACACGAACTAGCACCGATCCTAGGAGCGGTTTTTAACGAAGCTTTAGACATAAAGGTTCTGCCGTCTTCTTTTCTGTTATCTCATATACTATAATAATTCCAAAAACTGAAGACGCAGTTAAATTACGTGAAGTGAAGACGTACAGGCCAATCAGTCAATCAAATAACGACCACAAGATTTTGATGAATGTGTTAGCAAGGAGACGGCACACACTTATCTGAAAACACTCGCTCATCGTAGAATAGTCTCTCGATTAAAGTTCATCTATCAATAGTACCATGGTCACTTCGAAATTTCACACAATCGCTACATAACCAACCCGTCCGTGCGCTTTGACCGTATTCATCATAATAAAACAGTTAGACAACCATTCAGTCATGTGAACGTTCATTAGTACTCATTATTCCCTCATGCTCTTTCATTATGGAACAAGTTACGTCAAGAGGTCGTTAATGCGGACACGACACAATCGTTTGCCCATCTCGTCAATGACCTAACACTTTATTTTTAATATGCAATATATTATGTTCCTCATTAGTGCTGAGATTTTTTGTATTTAGGTATGAATGCCATTATTGCTATGTATTATTTATATTTTTCCTGATGTTGAGAATTTCCTTATTTTCGTACCTAGTATTGTATTTTTCTTATATTTCATTATTCTGTTTTGTCACTGACATTTGTTACCCACTCCTGCTTGGGCCCGAACAGGGCCTGCAGTATTTGTAAGTAAATAAATAAAATAAATAACATTTTAGGTGACCACCAGACATGTGGAAAGAAAGGGCGCACTATATTCACATTCACAAGGCACGAAGTGTATTGGGGTGCTGTGATGCAAAAAGCGATCACGTCGCGATTATCCAGATAGATTTAGAAAAAGCATTTCAGCGAGTACCCCACGAAATAATTTTTTCTTTTGTTGGTAACGTAATTCCCGATACATGTCCTGATTTTCATGTAAGGGTCTGTTGCTTGTTTTCGCCATGCAACCATGTAATACCATACCAGTTTTGCAACATGCCATGTGAACGAAACCACCGCAAGAACTGCAGGACCATGAAATGTAAATCATGACATGACGGACAGACAGATCATGACGTAAATCATGACGGACATAATCATGACGGACATCATGACGGACATAAATCATGACGGACATAAATCATGACGGACATAAATCATGACGGACGGACAGACAGACAGACAGACAGACAGACAGACAGACAGACAGACAGACAGACGACAGACAGACAGACAGACAGACAGACAGACAGACAGACAGACAGACAGACAGACAGATAGATAGATAGATAGATAGATAGATAGATAGATAGATAGATAGATAGATAGATAGATATAGATAGATAGATAGATAGATAGATAGATAGATAGATAGATAGATAGATAGATAGATAGATAGATAGATAGATAGATAGATAGATAGATAGATAGATAGATAGATAGATAGATAGATACGCTCAAAGTCGCCGAAGTTTGCTAAGAAATGCTTCGGATTTAAAAGCCAATCTCGCAGATATTTTTGTTCATTGCCCACATCATTGTGCTCTGTAACTTGACGTTGAACATAAAAATTGAGCTGAACGGATCATCCGAAATACTTCGTCGAGACAACGTGAGTAAAATACTAAAATACGTTGAAATGCGTGGCGTCGCTATGGGAGATACTGGAAGCAAACTGAAAGATGAAACATATGACATTGATCTTTTAATGTATCAATAAAGTTGCGGTTGTGAAATTGAGCGTTCTAGAATTCCTACACTGAAATTGGTCGGTCCGCAATAATTTATTGTTTAACTTTGGCGTCCCTTCAGCACAATTAACGCTATTCGTAACAAAAAAATCTTTGGTGACCTATACAGCGCTAATTAGAGGAGGATGAAAACTAAACATATACAAACTAGACACAAGGATAGCCACCATGATCTATCCAGACAGCATCGTATCAATGACACGAAATATTTCGGCAGATTAGTGGCAACACATTGTAAGGTGTGCGGGTCGATGGCGTATACTTTCATGTCAACCGAATAGTCAGTTCGCTTTGGTTCATTTTTTCGTACTTGTACGTACTCGCGTATCCTAACACGACACAGTTTTCTTTTTGCTCGAGATAGCCACCTCGTGTCGTGACGAATCTCATCTCCAAAGATGATGTTGGCTCTGACCTCCGCGTTCGAATCGAAATTACGGCCAATATGGATCGAACTGAAGATGGTGCGAACGCAAGTGTTGGCGTTACCTGGCGCTAAATTGTCCTGTTTCATATCCATCAGTACTGTAGTACATCATGTTCACTTTTGAGTAGGCAAACAATGTTACATGTTATTGCTTGTCAAATACATAACGCGGCGTCTTTTTTTTCGTGTACATTTACCTACACCCGCTTAAGTAACCTATACATCATACCCTTTATATGTCAGTCGCTTCGTGTCGCTTGTTGTTCGCATATTCCAAATGGTCGCGCAACCGGTGCTGCAGTCATTGGTGTGATTAATCCTTGCCACTTCAGACTCGACAAAATAGATTAATTATAATTGTTGTAGTTCCACGCTATAGAGCCACTGTATGATTATGTAACACGTACAGTGGAAGGTCCGGGGAAGAACGACCCCGTGCGGTTCTTCAACGTGCACCTCAATCTGCGCTGACATCATTTCGTCTGCATTAATACGCGACCGCCGCGCCTGGAATCGAACCTGCGACCTTCAGTTTAACGTCCAGCACCGAAACCACCATGCCGCTGCGGCGGAAGCCGCAAAGCAGTTTGAAATCCGTAAACGACCTTACATGTAGATGCGGCCACAAGCTGCTCCAGCGCTGGCGTCGCTGCGCGCTTGGATCATGTTCGCAATCATGGACCAGCGGTTGTTCTTTACGTCATACCGTTCGGCCGTCATGGTGCGCGTTTCCCCGGTGAAGCCGCCCATGGCATAGATGTAGCCCTGCGAATCAATCGCCAAACGAATCCATTACACTAAGACAAGGCTAGCACCTCTGGCGATTTTTTTTCGCTAAAAACTCCCAAGCATTTCCCCGAGGGTGAACATGGTTAAGTGCGAATACACGGGGTGATAGCTATGAGGGGTATTTATTAATTCGCACTATTATATTTTATAATCACACTATGGTGCCTTTATGGTGTAATGGTTCCTGGGAATCGCAATTTGATCACACGGGGGAGTTTACGTTAACTCACTGGCGAATGCCAACGGATCTTAACTCCCCCTCACGACCCGCTCTCGACGGGAGACTGAGAGAGAAGCGGGCGCGCGAGAGAGAGGGGTGCGCGCGCAGCTGCAGCGAGCGAGGAGAGCGGAGGAGCGAGCGAAGGGGGAGGGGGTATAAGGTGCGTTACTGACACCGACATCAGCGTCGCGTCCGTGGCCTATTCGGTAGAGCGTCGCGCTGCGGCCCGCCAAGTCCTCTTTCTTTTAAAGATAGAGAAAAGACTGCGGACGCCGCCGACGGCGGTGGATGGTTTAGGGTCGCTTATAAAGTGTATTCACACTTAAAACTGTCCACACGAAAACTCGCAACAGCTTCTGACGCATTTGCCTATATAATGGCACCTTCCACAGGGAAATATGTTGGCGTTAGACGGGAAAGCTCCGCGTGTGATGACACCGTAAGTTCTTAATGCACAAGCCGGTTCGGGAAACTATTGCTGCGTCCGTTTTGTGCATTTCAACGGCAACCTCAGCCGTCGGTTAAAAGCGCAACCAAGGTTGCTCACAGAGCGACGGAAGTGGCGTACGCTTCCCGTGTCTGCATAGTATTTCCGCTGGAATCCGCGACTTAGCGGCGGCGCTAGTGAGAGCAACGCGGCGTGGAGCAAGCTGCTCTATAGCGACCAGTGGAGCGCGCGAAGCAGCTCTTAGGCAGCGTTCAGGCCGCGTTCACACTGAGCATTCCGGCCCCGAAAGTACTCCGAATCCGCTTCGGCGGTGGCGAGTTCCACCGAAAGGGCCCTCTCCGCGCCGATCGCTCTCGGACCGATTTTTGCGGCGTCTGCCGCCGAATCGGTCACCGCGGACCAATAGGAGCGCTAGTCAAGGAATTTCGAAAAATGGCGGCCAAGCCCTACTCGCTTGTTATGCTGCAGTGCACGTAACTGAATGTTGAAACCAACGGGAGTTTAACCTACTCTGTGCCTACTTCGCGTCCGTATTTCGTGAAAGAGGTGACCGAGCTTGCTGTTGGCATGACCGAGCTTGTTGCGGTCTTGCAGAGCAAAACAAACCCACCAACGCCGCTGGCGTCGGTGGTTTTTCTGCTTTTCGTGCATTACAAGACAGCCACTTGCCAGCAAAGTGAGCAGCACTGTCTTTTTTTTGCTTCTTGCGTACGAGAATCGTCGAAGTATACACCACCGGATAGCGTAGTGGCATTTGCAAGCCGCGACAACAACCGGGTGACAGCGTATCCATCCCGCGTTCGCCCCGTAGTAGATGGCATATTCGGCGGCGCGGGGCGCGTCTAGTGCGAACAACGCTGCGTTTCGGTGGCAGGAGAATTTCGGTCGCTGTAGAAAGCGGATGTTTCAGTGTGAACTAGGCATTAAGGCCCGTATTCTACAACGTCCCTTCACTCAACGCTCCACCTTCACTTGAGAAAGCCGATGAAAGCGCCATCTATAGACAAAAAATGTCACTGCATATCAGTATAATTTGCTGCTATTCCTGAGTAGCGCAGCGTCATTTTTGTCCGAGAAGCGGCGCAGTGCGCAGCTCTTTCAAGTGAAGGGTGAAAAGTCGAGTCGATGAGCGTTTGTGAATACGGGGGAATGTCTACCAGTGAAACGCGCATTCGCCGCCACGCAGCCATAAGTCCTGCTCCGGGTCGACCAATGAGAAACGCCATAAGCCCACCTGGAATGTCAGTAGTGAGGGAGGGGGAGGTGTTTAAGAACGCCCCACTGAAATTTCAAATATTTCTCTGCCCAGTAGTTATCGGCTACAAAGCTTGATTCGCACAACTGCCCTCGGAATAACCAGCCAATTTTTCAAATTATTCACTATTGACTAATCTAGGCCGGGCTTATCTAACGCCAGTGAGAGCAAGGCCGCCCAAAACTGGATGCCCCCCCCCCCCCTCTTTTCTTATCTTTGTGGTGCGTACACCCTGCAGGGACTTCTGCGAACGTCATTAGGGCCTTCCAATATTACATGAAGGAGTAAAGCCTGCACAGCGGCGCCATATTGTCCCAAGGGCGACTGGCATTTAAACCATACTGTCCCAAGGCAAGTCCCAAGGGTGACGGCCATATTGAAATTTTTACATCCCAAATTTTTTGTGTATTTTCTGATACGTCGTGTAAGCAGTACACGTTTTATTAAATCGTATTCCTAGTTTAAAAGATAATATCACGCCGTCAGGCGTATACAATTATATACTGACTTATAATGCCATTTGCCACTTTTTCATCATGGATAGAAAACCTTGGCCATCGAGTTGCCCATCAGTAGTAGAGGCTACTGAGAACACGACAGTCAAGTTTTATAGCGCCGCACGCAGCCTGGAATTCACAATAAATTCTCAAACTCGGCTAAAAATTGCTTTTTTTTCTTCTCTCGACAAATGACGCCACAAGCTCAAAAATCACTCGTCACAGCCATTGTATCAGCTATTGGCAGATTTGTGCAAGGCGTGCTTGGCCGTTACTGGGGACGACGCGGCTCACCGCGACTTGACCAGGCGTGAGTGCACATGTAACTTAGAAGTGTGGCAGCTTGGGCTAGTTGGTATGGCATGGCGATAGTTATAGCGCGAGAACAAAACGACGACACATGTCTTTCGTGTCTTTCGTGTCCTTCTTGTCTCTGTGTCGTCGTTTTGTTCTCGCGCTATAATTATTGTCGTGAGTGCACAATCGCACAAAAGTGCTCAAGGTCACGAGGCACGCGTGACCTATTTTTTCCCCGTGCCATCCCTCCCTGCTTAGCTTCCAGTGGTTTCTTCGGGACGAAAGAAGAGATTGCAACTGCAGCGTGACTCCGCTTGAACTGGACGGATTCTGAAAAAGTTTGCAGCAGTGAATTGATTGATTGATTGATTGATTGATTGATTGATTGATTGATTGATTGATTGATTGATTGATTGATTGATTGATTGATATGTAAGGTTTAACGTCCCAAAACCACCATATAATGAGAGATGCTGTAGTGGAGGGCTCCGGAAATTTCAACCACCGGGGGTTCTTTGACGTTGCAGCAGTGTATTTGTGAGGCAAGAAGCTCCTTTAGTGAATCCATTCTATGGCTAATCAAAAAGTTGCAGCGCTGCTTTAAAATACCTTCCAAGCTACATTCACTGTTATTTTGCAGATGATATACGCTTGTTCACGGGAATCGATCTCACAGGTTATCTCACCCCCAAAAATTTGTGTCAGTTGTTTTCTGACCCACTGTATACTCTCTTCTTGTCTCTTGAGGTAACATCTATCATATTCCTTGCAATTATTCACGGCATCATGTTCAACTTAAGCTGAATTCTTTTTTTCTTCAAGCCTCCGTGCTTCTGCTCTGTCAGTAAGTACCGGTAAGATTCGCCTGCACATTCCTCGAACTACAAAATGACTCCGGTTAGAGTAGCAGCCACGGTAACGCAACTCATCACTTGCCTGCAGAACGGCCACACTGACGTAGCAGCGCGCGTACGCCATGTTAGGCTTGTCGATCCATCTGTTCAGGGACACGTCGAAGCACACCACGGAGTGGTAGCACTCGCGGCCGTTGAAACCGCCCAAGACGTAAACGCACGAGTTGACCACCGCCGCGCCGTGGTACGCCCTGCGGAGGTTGGCGGTGAGCTTGTCGACTTCTCACGTCAAACTTATGTGGGCGTGTAGTCACGGATATTTATCCGTATATATAGTATAGTTTCATGAAGGATCTATTTCGTAGCGATTCACTGAACGTGGTCAGCTGAACACGCACATAAATACACGTGGCATATCGGTTACGAGAGCAATAGTTCTATACTCCCGGTACTAAATCAGAACACACTTTTGCGCACGAGTTTGAGGTGTAACTTCAGCTAAGGTCAACACTGGCAGAAGACTTTCACCGACTTCAGCGGCGCGTTCGTGAAAATTCCGCACTTGTGTAACGATTCGTGTAGCGCTGAATGCCGCGCTAAATGCAGCTACACTGCTATGGAAACAGAGGAAGGGCGTATGCTGTGCACGGGGCCAAATTTATGAGCCCGGCCCGGGCTTGCCGACTTCGTCGACCCGCCCGAGCACGACATCAGAGAGCTGTGAGCCCGCCCGGCCCGGCCCGGCCCGATGTACAAAAACAGAAGCCTGTGCCCTGCCCACTTTGGCGGAACATTATTTCGGTTTGCTGGGGAGACAAGATGTAGTTTACTGATAATGTGGTATTTTTTTAACGTATCGAAGTGTAACATGAACAAACGACACATAGCATTGACTATATACTTGCAACGATTACACATTGTCGTGTAAAAATCAGCTGTCCAATGATTCGGGCTTCAGTGAAGTACAGTGCTCTTGCGTCACATACCCCGCCCAAATGAACTTCTGTTTGCTGCTCACACTGGTAGCCTAAATTGCCAATAACTTTTTCGCGAGCGTAGTAAGCTTCGAATTTCAGATTGTTCATCCTTAAGTGTACAGCTTCTATTGCTTCAAGTACAATTTCGCTTTACATATTCCGGGCACAAGTTATGTATTTCCGACTTCTGCTGGAGTCCTCTCCGTCGTCACGACCACGTCAAAATACGAAGAAAGGAGGTTTTCCTTACAAATACCGCGAAGAAGTTGCGTTTCCGGTAGGTGCGTGGATGATTCTTGAAAGCGGCTGTTTTCTTTTACCGTTTCCGTGAGACGTTGGTCGACGTGACACACGGTGAGATATACAGCATGAAAACAGTTGCTGAGATGTAACAATAGACGCCTTTCATAATGTGTAAAGCTGTAGCTTTGCTGCAATTCATTTGGCCAACGAATGTCGGCTAGTGGCTTACCTCAGACAGCGTGTTCTCGCGCATTTTTCTCGTGCCATTGCGCGAAAAATGTAGGCTCGGTTTTCTCGATTAAACACGCATAATACACACGCCCCAGAACACACGACTGGGATCTCGTTTCCACGTGGAAGCACATGTGCGCATTATTTAAAAGAAAGGCTTTATTGCCGCCCAAATACACCAGGCTGTAGCCCCGACTGGGGCCATGCAGGACTGCCCTTGGGCGAAATCGAAAAGGCGCCAGAGCTCATGCCAAATGTAACCAAAGTAGCCATGTCATTTATTAGTATTATCAAATGTGTAGCCAAGTAGAGGAGAAATGAAATTATGAACATAGTATTTACTATTGGTGACTAAATAAAATCATTTTGAATAAGCAAATCCAGAAGTTTAAAGTAGCCAAAAATAGCCATGGTACCAACTGGAAGTTTTCGTCACCAAACGGGTCGAAAAATATCCAATTTGGTGCAAAGTAGCCACCAACGGCCACCCGGACTGTGGCAATTGCCACAGTCCGGTTGCCGTGGTTGACGGGGTAGTCACGGTATTAATACCGTGACTACCCCGTCTCCACTCCCCCCCCCCCCTTGCCCTCAAGCGAAAGAGTGCAGAACTTACCTGGGTGGGGTGCACTGGCAGCCCAAGAAGCGCCACTTTTCGGCGCGGCAGTCATAAGTTTGCATGTGGTTGCTGGCACCGGACGTCCAGCCACCGAACAAGAACAGGATGTCCTTGGGCAGGCGAGGCGTGAGCCACAGCTTGGGGACAGGTCGATGCCGGCCACTTCGCCCACCGCCATCGAAGGCCGGGTCAACGTCTGTGTGAAAAAAGTTCGCACTCTGCAGTTACTGCAGAAAGGGCTATGTAGAGTAGATATCTTGAATCACATGTTTCATCCGCATGGAAGGGAGTAAACACGAGAATGAGAGCGTTTTAGAGACCCAATAAATTTACGAGAAGCCAGTGCGCATGCACCGAAGCCAAGCCACACTTGAGTTCTAGCGTTGACGCTTGCGGAAGACCAAATAACCGAAAGCTGGAGTTACTGTATTGACAACATATACAGTAACTCTACCATAAACTAGTTTGAGCATCCCCAAAGCATCTTGGGTCACCAGCGAGGCAATGCAGAGGTAGTGTGGGCAGCCCGTTCTTCCTCATTTTATTCTCCACTGCATTTCCTAACCAAACATGCATCTGTATGGGAAAGGCAGATATGCGAAACGCGCGAGAATGCTTCACGTCACGAAAATTAGTAAGAGCTATTGTACGTGAACGCATGGTTATTAACGACGCCTGGTTACAGGGAGACTGCCGGTACAGCCAGAAACAGTCGAACAGTCTCGGCGTCCACAGCTCGCGCTTCGCACCAAGAGACGGTTCCCCCAGTTATTGCCTTGGTCTTTTACCACTACAATATCACTTATGCAAACTCTCTTTGGGAGGGACGGTGACAATGTGGGCGGCGCTGACATATTTTCCTCACACTGTCAGCTAATATAAACCTAAGCGCAGGGGCATTCTATGCACGCCGTCTGGTGTGACCGCAGCAGTCGGGAATCGAACCCACACCCTCGAGCATGTCTTCCCGGTATAGGGACATACGGTGAGCGTCGTGCAATAAGCGTCATACGGCAGACGACGGGCATCATACGACATACGATAAGCATCATACGGTAAGCGGACTAAGACAAGGACAACTAAAAGCCTCACCAGGAATCGAGCAGCACAAAAGCAGGGAACAATGCTCGATGTGATGGAAAAGTACTGAGTTAGAAGCTCAACCCAAGCTAGTTGGCATAGTGACATATTAAACATGTGCAAACGCTTGCCGGTTTCAACATGTCCCACACTAACTTTCTCATTCGCCAGGCCGACCGTCGTTCCCTCTTTAATTTGTGCTTCTCGATCAGTTTACTCGTTACATCGCAAATCAATGATCCAACATCCCTCCCGCTTGTCCAAAGAAAATGCGTCGATCAGTAAGAACACACGCACTGCATGAGCACACGCTATGTTCACTGACCTTATGGATAACGTTGAGCACTTTCAGGCTGTCTCCGTCACACTGTACTTCTGGGCTGATGATAACCTTCTCGAAGTCTCTGCAGGAGCGCGTGTGCGACGTTCCATCAGTCGTGCGAATTGTGGAGGCTTAAAGAGAAGCGAAGCTACAGCGTTCAATGTGCACAGTGCGCGACACTATTTAATTGGATTGCTAGCTTGACGTCACGACACTTAAAGACTACGAAAACGTTTCCATGAACGCCCAAGACTGCGGCAACCATGGTTAAGAAAAGTCGCGTGGTCCCTTACGCACTCGCTCAAACGGCTTGAAGGTGACAGCCTTATTAGTCGATTGTATTGACCGTCATGCACCAAATCTTTCAGCGCCCAATGTCGTTTGGCATTGCCTTCGAGATCGGAGGCATTCAAAGCTCCTCATGGTGTTTTAGAGTGCCTCCATCATAGAGTTTCATAAAATTAACTACAGGGGACACTGGCGCAGCGATCATTCAGTGACCATGGGAATGGTGGGTAGTACGCGAATTTGCCTTCTTCACGCTTGTGGGCTTCAAGCGCACTTTCGGCTTTGTTTATTGACGTGTTTTCGTTTCGTCTCGAATAAAACAACGGACCATCGTGAACTTAGGATGCCGATTTTAATCGGTGAGCTTATAGAGACATCAAGGTGGTGAAGCGTCATTGCAGAACTTCTGCTGAACATCGCCTTGCGGCAAAGCGGATTTAGGCCGCACGCAGCCGAATGAAGTCGAAAGAACGAAGATTAAACAAATTCGTGTACTACCCATGATTCCCATGCTGGCTGAAGAGCCGCGCGTTGCAGCTGCCATAGACACCAGCGCCAGAGTTCCCTCTGGTGTACTTATAGGAAACTCTGCGCTAAAGGAGAGAGTAATAAGTGCTAGAAGCACGTGACAAATGTGTGTACTATAGGCAAATCCATGACATGTAGGCATGATTCTTCATCATGTTCCACTCGTGCTTGACGTATTCTATAAGTACTCTGCACCGGTCCATTGAGGCAATAAAGTCCTGTAATGAGGCCACTGAATAATAATAATAATAATAATTATTATTATTATTATTATTATTATTATTATTATTATTATTATTATTATTATTATTATTATTATTATTATTATTATTATTATTATTATTATTATAAATGTTGCAGGGCCCCCTTGAAGTGCTATGCTCCGGAGACGCGGGGGCCTTGTCACTCACACGACGGTGAACCGTACGAAGCGAACGAGGGGCAGAAACTGGGCGAGGTACATCTTCCTCGCACCGACGTCAGCGGAGATCCACTTCAGAATGGCCCTGAAGGTGTCCTCTACCTCACTAGGTGCGTGCAGTCGGCTGTCCTCGAGTAAGGAACGCATATCTTCCGGAGTCAGAGCCTCGAACTTCGGACTATTCTTCCACACCTGCGCCGCGTGCACATTTCCGTGACTCATTATGCACACTGTTAAAGGGACACTGAACAATCACTTGGTTTAGATCGACAAACTGCAGTGCGAGAAATTTAATGCCTTATGTTTCACTATCCTAAGTTCGATGTTAGCGGAGAAATTCAATGCTGAATTTCCATTTTCAAGTTTCGCACTAACTGTGTATGTAGGGGCGAAGCTCCTTACGCCATGGGTCGTACGTCCCGTGTTTCTAGTAATATCCACCTCTAGTTTAGTTCTTGGAATGTCCGCTGGATGGCGGTACTTGTATATATGATGAAGATATGATGAAAAGAGGCGAGATAGCGGTACATGGAGTGTTCACTAGATGGATGAACGGACGGACGAACAGGCGGACAGACAGACAGACAGACAGACAGACAGACAGACAGACAGACAGACAGACATACGAACAGTCGAACGCATGAACGGACGCACGAACGGACGTACGGGCGCACGTAGGAACGCACAGACAGATGGACGGACGCTTCGCCCCACTCATCATCACCTCCGTGGATATGCTGCAATTTTTTTCGTATTTTCGCGACATATATAGGCTAGACGAAATGAAATTTTCTGGAACTTCATACGCTATGTCTATGGCACCCACAGATGACATTTTAATTCATTCTTTATCGATTACAAGCTACTTAGTACCCAGTAGAGAGCTTCAAAATTCGTGTCATCGCAGCGTTCAGTGCGGCAATCTCAAGGCGTCTCCACCTGCATATTTGTTCGCGCCTTTTCCCGCTTATCAAGCGTATACTATCGTCATAAATGTGGTATTTTCGGGTTTGTGAAATTGTTTCACCAATGCGCGAAAAATCGCTTTGCTGTTCAGAGTTTTAAGAAACGGGGGCACCACAAGACTGCCTCTTCGCCCCACTCATAGGCCTGTGCAGAGAAGGAAGATCAGCAGAGGGGGGAGGAGGTAGGTGGGCTGTCATAAGCTTGCCTCAAACCTTTATTCAGTCAGACCGGTACCGTCGCTGATTAAAGAGCAGGGTTCACAGATATTAGACGATTGTCACAGAACGAGCACTAAAAATGGGCGCGCAGCCAAATTCTTGCGATAACGCGCGGGAGAGACGCCGGGAGGTCAAAAGAAAAAAAAAAAATCCAAGGCTCCCCGGGCGGGCGCTCTCCCCTCGGAAGCGTGGCTTCGCCGACGAACCTCCTCACCCCACATCGGCGGCCGAGCAAGCCCGCGAAATTTCTAGAACGAAAGAGGCGTGGTCACGCCCGGTTGAGTCATCCATCGCGGAGGGCATTCCAACCGTCTCGCCCTCTCCCTAGCCTTCGCTGCGTATCGCGCCGACGAAATGACGAGAACCTTCTGGAATCTCGCGCGGAAGGTATTTAATCGAGCAGCCGAGACGAGAAAGCAGGAGAAGACGGAAGTTAGCGCCAGAGCGCGTAGGGATTCCGCCGTGTAGTCGGCGAAGGTTTTGTCCGTAGCGACAAAGCAGGAGAAGAAGAGGATTTCCACCTGAGGGGTGAAGGCTCGAGCTACAGGCAAGAGCGTGTGTTTACCGCTATCGAGCGAAGACGCGTGGCAACAGCTGCGTGTGTGAAGCCGTCGTGTTTCCGGCGAAGAAGTTGAAGCTTGAAGAGTGGCCAATTGAAGACGCGAGGTTTCCTGGAAGAGAAACTTCAGGGGGCAGCGGAACGACAACGCTGGACTTTGAGTGAGTGATTCTCGGAAGAGTATCATTCAGGCTTTTGTTCCAAGGACTTTGGACTGAATAGGTTTTCTATCTCTTTAGTCTTTAAGTGTCTTGGTTGTTAAATGCATGCGACTGCATTGTAGTGTGAATTGTTGTCTGTGTCCGTTGTTTTGAGTGTGGCTGATTGTACTGTGTAGTACGTTGGTTGATTAGTGACATATTGTACTCAACTATTGTGTAGTGTGCATACTCGTGTATTGTTTTCGATCTGCCATTATTGAGAATATAATTTTGTTTGTTTATCAACTCTCGGCTCTGACTTGTTCTTTGGGCCACAGCCGGCGTCTGCTGGCGCGCCAATAAGGACCAATTCTAAATTGTCCACGCTTTCGTGGTGCGGTTTGGGGGGCCGATACTTCGGCTCTTGGAATTAGCCCGGCGATCGCCTCCCTAATTAACGGGACGTGTGTGACAATTAATCTGGCGTCCGCGACAGGAGCTTTTGGTGCACAGTGTGTCCAAAGTAGTGAGAAAGAGCCTCGAGTTGTTGATAGTGCTATCGGAACGATTTTGTGTGTTGTTCAGTGTTCTCGTTAACGAGTGCAGGGGAGTGTTCCGATAGACTGATTTAGGCAGATACTTTTTGCACGCGGCAAGGTTTTATTTGCGAGTTGCGAGACAAAATGGATCTCGAAAAGTTAGTCGCTCTTGGTGAGAAGATGGGTCTTTCTGGCGCCGAACTACGGAAGTGGGTCACCCAGAAGGAAAAAGAAGAAAAAGAGAGAGCCAAGGAAGAAAAAGCAGCTGAGTTGGAGAGAGAGAGGTTGGCAGCTGAGAGAGCCAAGGAAGAAAAAGCAGCTGAGTTGGAACGAGAGAGGTTGGCAGCTGAAAGGGCGAGAGAAGAAAGAGAGGCAGAAGAGCGACAGCTGAGAGAAGAAAGAGAGCAGCAATTGAAATTGGAGCTGGAGAGAGAAAAGTTGGCAGCTGAAAGGGCGAGAGAAGAAAGAGAGGCAAAGGAGCGACAGCTGAAAGAAGAAAGAGAGGCAAGGGAGCGACAGCTGAAAGAAGAAAGAGAACTGCAATTGAAGTTGGAGCTGGAGAAAGAAAGACTGGCAGCTGAGAGGGCGAACGAAGAAAGAGAGGAAAGGGAACGGCAGCGACAGCACGAGATGGAACTCGAGCGGCTCCGTTTGCAACAGCGAAGTGAAACTCCCGTCCAAGCTAGAGTTGAAAGCAGCGAACGGGAGGACCACGGCTTCCGCTTGAACCCAAGCAAGCTGCTCGTGGCGTTTGATGAAAGGAAGGACGACCTTGACGCGTACCTTCACAGATTTCAGACGATTGCAAGGAGCCAGAATTGGCCGGAACATCAATGGGCAACTGCTTTGAGTACTTGCTTGAGTGGTGAAGCGCTCAGTGTGTACGGCAGGCTGACGCCGACCGATGCAGCCAACTACGCAAAGGTGAAAGCTGCTTTGCTGAAGCGATTTAGATTTACTGTAGAAGGTTTCCGGGACAGATTTCGGACAGGAAAGCCAGCTGATGGTGAGACGGCTACGCAGTATGCCGCCCGACTTTGCCATTATTTCGACAGATGGATTGAACTTTCAGGGACAGCGCAGGAGTACGATGAGCTTAGAGAGCTCCTAATTAGAGAACAATTTCTTAGTAGTTGCCACCCAAGCCTGTCGCTGTACTAGAAAGAGAGGAAGGCTGAGTCACTTGAAGGAATGCTTGAATTGGCTGATCAATTCTTGGAAGCGCAAGGTGGAACTAATTTGGCCAAGGTCAAGAAGGATTGTTCCGATGATTCGAAGAAATTGGCTCCCGAAGAAAAGAAGCGTCCCCAGAGAGCATTCCGCGATGTTTTCTGTGCAACCGAGTGGGTCATCGCGCGAAAAACTGTCGAACGATCTTTACGAGCCCTATGGCAGTAAAATGTTTTAAGTGTGGACAGACTGGGCACAAAGCAGACGCATGTCGAAACGGAGCGAGTCAAACTCACCAGGTATCCTGTGTGCAAGCGGCACCGAAATCCGGTAATAATGCCGTCACCGACGGATTCGTAGAGTTGAAAAATGGGGAGAAAATTCCTATTGTGGGTGCTGTAATGTCAAAACAGCCAACCGGTGTTACGAAGGGAATGCCAACGCTGCCTGGAAAGGTTGCGGGCAAGAAGATTACGGTCCTAAGAGACACCGGTAGCTCCACGGTTATCGTGCGGAGAAATTTGGTACGGGAAAGTGAGTTGACAGGCAGAACGAAACCGGTTTGTCTAATTGACCGTACGGTTCGGATGCTTCCCGAAGCAGAGATTGAGGTGGAAACCCCGTACTTCAGCGGGAAGGTTACCGCTCTATGTATGACGACCCCCCTTTACGACCTTGTCATCGGAAACATCGCCGGGGCGCGAGGACCGAATGATCCGGAATATTTGGGAGAAGACCCTAAGATAGAGCCCTCGCCAACCCAGCGACCGCGAGATACAGTGGAGGAGCAGCCCGTGACGGATCTCACTAGAGCCCAAGGTGAAGCCGCAGCGCAAGAGACAGTGAATGAGAAGTTGATCGTGTTGAATGAGTTCACGGGCCGAGCAACTGGACTTACGGCGGCACGAACTCAACCGACCGACAGTGTAAAGGAGACGGAGTTGGCCAGCCAGGCCAAATGTCAAGACATGAAAAAGCGGGTGAATAACCTGACAGGATCGGTTGAGCGTCATGACCCGTTAGCAGTGTCGGAAGTGACAATGATGGCTGAGACGCCGCCTCAGATATCGTCGTTGGAAAGGGCTCGCCGAAAAAGAACGTGGAAGCACAAGAAGAGATCGAGCGAGCACCGCAAGAAAGGGCGCAAGCGCCGCTCGGAATGCACCGGATAGGTGTCGATGTCGAATCAGAATGTGTTTGGCAGTGCTGAGTGCCATATGTTGTGTTAATGTTGTGTTATCCTGTGTCACAAGTGTCGAAGTGTTTGTGCTGTGATGTATAGTGTTGTATAATTGTTGTAAAGACAGAACTTTGTACGTTTGTATATTTTGGAATGTGTGATGAAGCGTTGTACTCATGTACCTGCGGTTATATTTCATGTTTGTGAGATTGAATTGTAATGTCCAATCGTATTCGTGATATATTGTGAATGTGACGTGTCATGAGCGACGGACTATGTTACAGTCTTTGAGAGTGTGTGGTGACTGTTCGCGCTCGTTTGTGTGGTTTTGAATATTATGAGATAATATTCTGAAAGTGGGGGGCAGTGTCACAGAACGAGCGCTAAAAATGGGCGCGCCGCCAAATTCTTGCGATAACGCGCGGGAGAGACGCCGGGAGGTCAAAAGAAAAAAAAAGAAAAACAAACATCCAAGGCTCCCCGGGCGCGCGCTCTCCCCTCGGAAGCGTGGCTTCGCCGACGAACCTCCTCACCCCACATCGGCGGCCGAGCAAGCCCGCGAAATTTCTAGAACGAAAGAGGCGTGGTCACGCCCGGTTGAGTCATCCATCGCGGAGGGCATTCCAACCTTCTCGCCCTCTCCCCAGCCTTCGCTGCGTATCGCGCCGACGAAATGACGAGAACCTTCTGGAATCTCGCGCGGAAGGTATTTAATCGAGCAGCCGAGACGAGAAAGCAGGAGAAGACGGAAGTTAGCGCCAGAGCGCGTAGGGATTCCGCCGTGTAGTCGGCGAAGGTTTTGTCCGTAGCGACAAAGCAGGAGAAGAAGAGGATTTCCACCTGAGGGGTGAAGGCTCGAGCTACAGGCAAGAGCGTGTGTTTACCGCTATCGAGCGAAGACGCGTGGCAACAGCTGCGTGTGTAAAGCCGTCGTGTTTCCGGCGAAGAAGTTGAAGCTTGAAGAGTGGCCAATTGAAGACGCGAGGTTTCCTGGAAGAGAAACTTCAGGGGGCAGCGGAACGACAACAACGCTGGACTTTGAGTGAGTGATTCTCGGAAGAGTATCGTTCAGGCTTTTGTTCCAAGGACTTTGGACTGAATAGGTTTTCTATCTCTTTAGTCTTTAAGTGTCTTGGTTGTTAAATGCATGCGACTGCATTGTAGTGTGAATTGTTGTCTGTGTCCGTTGTTTTGAGTGTGGCTGATTGTACTGTGTAGTACGTTGGTTGATTGGTGACATATTGTACTCAACTATTGTGGAGTGTGCATACTCGTGTATTGTTTTCGATCTGCCATTATTGAGAATATAATTTTGTTTGTTTATCAACTCTCGGCTCTGACTTGTTCTTTGGGCCACAGCCGGCGTCTGCTGGCGCGCCAATAAGGACCAATTCTAAATTGTCCACGCTTTCGTGGTGCGGTTCGGGGGGCCGATACTTCGGCTCTTGGAATTAGCCCGGCGATCGCCTCCCTAATTGACGGGACGTGTGTGACAACGATAATGGCGGCCAAAGGCCGCTGATGTTCTAAGAACTATTTACTTCCCTCTTTTACCCACGGAAGGCCGGAAACACGGGGTTATATATATAGCTGTTGTGATTTCTGCATGCCTAGCGAAGTTTGTTTTCCTTCAGACCCGACAAAAGCAAACAAGTAGAAGCCCAAGATTTGTCCAACACAATGACAACAAATTGCGGCCGTATGGACTAGGGATAGTATTCTGGACAATGTCAAAGTCCGCCAGTATACGACCAGCTCTGATTGGTCCAGACGGCTGCTGAGGCTTCTCTGATGGTCTTGAAATCTCCTCATTAGGAAAACGTAACTTTGGTGCAATTTTACAACGTCAAGAATAGCGCCTCAGCATAATGTGGTGTGTGTGAAGGGCGGATGTAGGGTTGTTTCGGTATCACTTCCAACCAATATGTTTTGCTGGCAGCCGTTTCACGCTCACATCTACTCTCGGTTACAGCAGAGCAAACCTTTTTTTTTCTTTCTGCAGAACAAGCTGCCTTAGGCATGAGATGAGGCGATTACTGTGCGAATAAGGGCACTGAATGAACTATTGTCATCCTTGTCTAGACCATTATCAAAGTTATGGGCAGTACCAGCGCACAAACTCACGGCACGAAGAAAAGAGACACAAACAAACGCTGTGCTGTGTCTTTTCTTCGTCCCGTGAGTTTGTGCGCTGGTACTGCCCATAACGTATCACCAACTAGCCCAACTATCAGTCCTGCTTCATTATCAAAGCTTTTGTTTGAGCTCCCAAGTTTTACGGACTGTCTTCGTAGAAGCACATGCCTTCATTTTACGAGTTCTCGTAGACTACCGCCAAGTTCCTATACCTGATCGAAGTTGCGAAGCAGGTATCGAAGCGCTTCGCTGGCTAGGCTGTCGTATCCGTGGTTGACGGCCATGTGGTAGGTGTCTATGCAGCTCTCAGGTTGGAGGTTCTGCTTCAGTGTCCTCAAGCAGTGATCTCGAATCGGTAATATCTGCGCAGCAAAGACGGAAATGAAAAAGAAGACGACATGCGAACGCTTTGATCTTCTGTTCTTATGAAAACCGGGTAACGCCACGAAGTCGCAAAATCTCGCGCGAAAAGAAAAAAAAAATGACTTAATCTCACGCAATACAGCTGTAATAACCATATCTGAGATATTATGTTCTCAAACCACGATACGATTATGAGAGACGCCGGGGTAGAAGGTTGCGGAAATTTCGACCATCTGGTGTCATTGGATGTGCACTGACACCGCACACTGTATACACGCGACTCTACCACTCCAGCGCCTCAGTCGAGACGCGACCGCCGCGGCCGCTACCCGACTCGCCACCTTCGGCTCAGCAGCTGAGCACCACAACTACTGATCCACCAAGGCGGACGACACAACAGTTCAAACTCTATACAAGTCTTAAAGACGCAGAAATTGTTTCGGTAAGTAGGGAAGTTCGTAAGATCAAGAAAAGGGTTCTTCGTCTCCTCGGTATGTAAAAATTGTAACGCTGCGTCAACCGAAGGCTGCGAAAACGTTGCGAAGGCAGCGCATGTGCGGCCCTGACATGGAGCTTCTTATGTCGTCTGGACAGATGGCGCCACCATGTCAGGGTGATGCAGGCCAGACAGACGGTTGCGAGAAGCAATGACAGGTGAATAATATGCCGAGACGAAGAAACTGTGTTCGATGGAACTATTGTAAGATGAATTGTAGCAGTCCTGCGGTACCGGCACGTACCAGCGAACTCTTATTATGTCGAGAACAATGATCCGTGCCTAAGATAGCGTTGACGCTTGTTAACGGCAACTCCCCGTTCGGCACGCCGCGTTTCCGACTTGAAAGAAGATTCAATTGAGACAAGAAACTAAAAACTCAAAAGTAACCTTGTCTGGCCTTGTCATCAAATTCACCCGCTAGTCACTGTTTCGTAAAATATATATAATATGTCAACCAGGTATTGAAGAGTTCATCTTGCACCACCCACTTCCGCTTCAACGCGAATCGACTACAACTTAATGCCCTTATATAAAGCTGGTAACCGCACAAAGACGAAGGCGCATATCTCTTTGCGTGTTCGCTTTTGTTACCCTTGTATTAAAAGCGAAGCTCCTCAGGCCCTCCCGATGTCGGACCATGGTCGTTCAGGCTCGACGTCGTCCCTGTAGTCGAAGCGTATGCGTGCGAAACATCTGGCGGTAATACCTTGACCAGAGCGTACACGTATGCTACGTGTACTATACGCGCTATATGCGCTACGTATACACTCCATTGACGGTATTGCTCCCAGATGTTTCGCACGCGTTCGCTTCGACTACAGGGACGGACAACCACAGTCAGTCATCGTGAAGGCCTGAGGAGCTTCGCTTCAAGGGCAGCGAATATGTCGTTGATCCTTATCTGTGCGCAACACCGTCCACAAAGGGTACATAGCGCGCTTATCGTTTATAATTTCGTCAATGGAGCTTCGCTTCATCATCATCATTCACTACGAGGATCTGCACCAATTTTCAATGTGCTTACCAGCTTCAGTATGTCACTTTACCAACTAGCAGACCCAACTTCAAGGTGGAAGTACAAAGTTGCCAGACGAACCCATTATTTGATTCATTCCTGCCAAAGACAGCGTCTGTATAACCCCCCCCCCCCTCCCCGCCTCCGTCGTCCACAAACCAGACCATTCATCGTTTCAAGCTACCCTGCAAAAGACTGTCTAAACTATATTGTCAGAAGTCAGGATGCATTTCCTGAGAACGCTCGGCGGCGGAGAACTGGATGGAAGCAATCCTCGTTGGCTGCAGGGGTTCCTTTAGAAAATGAATAGTCCATGACGTAACAGTGTGCATTAACCGCTTCTCTCCAAAAAACCCTTCAGCATTGAGAGCGCTTTAAACGAACGAATCCAATCTGAGCAGCATTCGACCGACCTTGAGCTTCACGGCGAGGTCGAGCACTTTGGCGACGTTGTGCGTGCCGACGCGCTCGCACAGCGGTATCTGGTAGGCGAAGTCGACCAGCAGCTCGATCATGTCACCCTCAAGGTCTCTGATCACCGCTTGTACTGGCCGGGTCCAGACGCCCCGCTTCTGCTCGGCAGTCATGCTTTCTCTGGCAACGTCGAAGAGCTTGTAGCAGCCCGAAAATCTGCGGGCAGAAGGAGAGGAGGCTCATTCACACTTGCGACTAATGCGCAATTCACAATGCGATCGTTTGCGACTAGGTATACCGAAACGGCGACCGATGTTTGCACGAAAGATTTATAATCGTCGCCACACAGAATCCACATCAGCTAGCAGTCATATGTAGCTCGCATCGGGAACCCAAGCTAATATTTGAGTGCGACGCTCACGCCGCCGAGCTATCCGTCACTGGGATAGACGCTGCCGGCGGCTGCGCTTTGTCGCCGGATTTGGCAGCCACGGAGGCAAGGATTCCTGCGCCCATGGGCGCATCATATTTGGGCACCGTGATGCGCATCATATTTGGGCATCGTGATTTGGGCGTCATATCATGCGCATCATGATGCGGTCACTCGGGAAACTCCTTCTATCGGGGACTTACCGGTTTGCATACTAATGTCGTTGAAATGTATGTACACGTCTCATTATTTCTGTTTTTATTTTCTAGATGACCGTATTTGATTATGTGGTTTGTGATGGAATTCTCTCTGCAAATTTTGTACTCCCTAATTGAACCGCAACATGCCTTCTCTGTAACAGATCCTTAACTAACCATATAAGCTACGAATCTAGATGTTTTCGCAGAAAATGTCTAGTGAATAATTTCATTAGAAATAAAACATTCTTCTAATAGGTAGGGGGGGGGGCGCTCTGGCAAGCCATCACCCCCCCCCACCCCCCTGAAGGGTAACCCTGCTCACGCCTATGATCGTACCGGTGAGCACAAAAATACTGCCTCATGGGCCGCAGGCTGTTAGCCTCTAGTCTAGACACTTTGCTCAGCGCAAAAGTAGGCGCAACAACACAGAATGACCCGCACTGCACTTGTCCTCGCTTTTCTGTCAACATTCACGCGGAGCAGTTTTAGGTACGGAATACCAACTGGCACGATAACACTCGTTGCTTCAGTATAGCTCGAGAAACGTTTCGTGAGAACGCGCAGGAACGTCAAGCAAGGAAGGAAGGAAGAACTGTATTGGGTGAGCAGTTAGGGCCTTTCACTAAATCTGGACCACGTGCGTGGCCATCACATAGCGTGTGTGTGTCCAGACCGCGCAGGGCCAGGGCACTGCTGCCACCCCCCACCACCCCCCTCCTCACTGGTCCACACAGCGGAGCTGTGCGTCCGGATCCTGCAATGAAAGGAGGGCCTCCCACTCCTCCCGTGTTTTGATAGCGGGTTGCCACTGCAGGAAGGATCGGCAGGGCAGCCAAACAGAATGCGGTCAAAGGTGGCGGGCAACGCTATACGGAGAGCACACTGGGGAGAAATGGGGTGTGAAATGAGATGGCAATCGAGGGGTGGAAAGAGTTCTCGTCCGGAGTCACCTACAGATGATTCGTTGGGAGTACCAAGGCGGGGGTCGGAAGCGCCAACGAAGCCAACTAGTTCACGCACCAGAGTGCCAACCATCAAATGGCCATTCCGAGACGCAAATGTCCGACCTATACTGAGTGCTGACTATAGACAAGCGTACACAGGAGAGACAAGTGTTGCAACGAACGGTACTTACTTGTAACACATCACAAATCGATGCGCCCAGACTTCATCGCCGTCGATGCCACTGAACACGACGTCGCAGTCCAGGAGCGCTTTCCTCTGTTCCCGCAATCCCGGCATGGCCCTGGCCATTGCGCTCGGCGCAAACTCCCGCAACCGACTTTCGTCGTTGAAGAGCTGCGCCGCTTCGAACCACGTGGTGAGCATGTCGTCCTCCACATTGCCCGTGGGACCCGTGCGATCCCTCGGCGCGGCCTCGACGGCAGCACTCATCTCCACGTGTGTCCACGAGGGACCGTCAGCAGGCGTATAGCCTGGCGGGTTCACGGGCAGGCGTCGTCCGGTCTGCGCTGACACACCACCGGCGCACCAAGAGAGAACCGCGCGCAGGTCCGACCGAGAGCTGTGACCGAGCCGATGATGATTCCCGGAATGTGATGATGAATGCCACATCTCACCGCGCGAGATCGGCCGCGAAGCGTGACTTGCTGGTTCGTGTGGAACCGCGCTACGCTTTTGACAGATTTTTGCGCGCACTACGAGGCGCGCTATCAGTTGTTGTTGTTGTTGTTGTTGTTGTTGTTGTTGTTGTTGTTGTTGTTGTTGTTGTTGCTGCTGTTGTTGTTGTTGATGATTAGGATTATGATGATGATGATGACGATGGCCTAAACGAATAGTTCACACCCACTCTGGGGGATTGGCCAAGGAACGATTATTTAGTAGATCATATATTACTCATAAATATAATGAATTTTAAAAAGATTAGAAGAATTGAAATTTTACTAATTGAGAGAGAGAAATAACATTTATTTTTACATTCGGCGTGTAGCAAGTCCCCGGCCGAATTGAGAGATTTCCAATCAAAATCGCCTTGATTCGATTATTCTGCCTTTCCCGTCCTCTTCTATGTTGTTCATGCCTTAATTGTGATACCATAGCTTTGTTACTAATAATGATAATAATAATAATAGTAATAATAATAATAATAATAATAATAATAATAATAATAATTGGTGTATCGCGTGTCATAACCATGATATAATTGTATGAGACACGTTGGGGCGAATGGCTACGGAAATTTCGACCCTTCGGACTTCGTTAGCGTGCACGGAAGCCATACCGTAGGCAGTGGCATTTGACCTGCGTCAAAATAACGCCCGCCGCCGGGTTTGAACACGACACCTAGCAGTGAAACCTTGCGCACAGAGCGACATTTGTGCCATTGAAGTTCCAAAAAGATACAGCCGAAGTTCCCATGCGAAGGCACAATGGCACGCATCTGTGTGGGCAATACCACCCACACATGCCTGGCCAGGACATCCGGACTTCCCCCTCTCCCACCTTTAGATTCACCAGTGCGACAAAATGGGTGCGGAACTCGAATGGAATGGAATGAAAAAAAACTTTATTTCAGTCCTGCAGGACGCGCTTAGCGCGTAGCGGGCGTCTCCCACGTAGGGACCGACAGGGAGTACCTGGCGGCCGCTTCGTGGGCCTGCTGGACGGCCCATTGCTGGTCGGCGAGAAGTGAGCTCCTAAGGGACCTCTCCCACTTGCTTGAGGTAGAGTCGGGAGAAGATGTTCTACACTCCCAGAGCACATATATTCTAATTAAACACGGTATCTCAATGTGCACCAAAAGATTGCCACCCCCAACTTCCTCCTTTTACAACTCTGCCGAGTGGATCAACACCCTTTTAGAGGAGCTGTAGTATTATCAATTTATCTGTAAACTCTCAGTTCACTTCAATGAAATCGATTGTATACGCGTACTCTCATATCTTCAACAGATCTCGTGTTGTTCGTGCATGCTTTTTTCTATTATTTTCTCTACATCATTGATGATCGTTCAGTTTCTTCTTTGAGTCCTTCATTTCATGAGCTAATCACTGGACCACATCACTTGCAGATCGTACCTCCTTGCATGTGACTCCTTCAGCCAGATTCTCGGTCATTCCTCCCCCCCCCCCCCCCAATCAGTGAGTACGAGCCAACAACAGTATCATCAGCAGCAGCATTGCTTTTGTTGTTGTTGTTATCGTCAGACACCCCGCTCTTGCCAACGCATTGGATTTTATTAAAGGATCAAATATATTGAGATCGTAGAAACAATTTATACTCCTTTTTATTTTCTGCATTGCTTTATTCATTTCATTTCATTTATTTATACTGTTAGCCCAGAAGTGGGCCGTTACAGGGTGGAAGTACAAACAATTATTTGCAAAAAAGAAGTACCGTACAGGTCTCGAGATAATTTCTCGGTATTATTGTGACCAGCAACTCGAAGTTATACATAACATACATAAATGGAACACACATGCGATGCAATACGTACGCGCAGAACAGCACATGACGCATTTGAGGCGGCACTTTTGCACCGCGCTGAAGATTTGAAAGACAACTACTGCAGAATCATGCAACCAACAAAAAGTACACACACACGCCAAAAAAAAAAAAAACATATGTCACTGTTATTCGGAAAATAAACGTTTTAGATTTTGTTCAAATGATGTAAGCGAGGAACAACCAATTATAGACTCTGGCAGCATATTCCAATCTTCAATAGCACGTGGAAAGTAACTGAACTTAAAGCAATCGTTACGTGGGACTAGGGGTGGTATATACATATTATGGCGATGTCTGGAGTGTTCTTGTGTGTTGACCTGGAAGTAATCTGAATAGTTTAGTTTAAAATGATTATGAATTAACTGGAAGAAGAATTTCAGAGAATTCTTTATTATTCTTAATTTTTTTTAAACTGTACCCACCTAAAAATTATTATCTATGTTTTTTTCCCCGATAATAATACTCGCAACTTCGTTTCAGTATTCTTTCATATTTAAATTGACGGTATTTAAACTAGTGTTTAAGAATTTCTTTTTCACTGATACACTGTTTTGGCCAATCTCCGAGCGTGGGTCTGTGCCACTGCCCAGAGTTCTACCCTACTCTACCGGACGTTCCAGGTAAGGCAATTGGAGCTCAGGGCAGGGTGACGACGTCGGCGACGTGAGAGGTCTCTCGAAGGTGAAAATTACGCCGTTGCAGTAGTGTAGTCAGCTGGGACGGGTGGTGCGAATCCATCGCAAATAAGCAACAGCGCAAGCAACCAAAAGGCACGCAGAAAGGGGCGGTTACAGTTGAAAGGCAGCGTCTTGTCATTCCTCTGTGTATGGCTCGCCCCATTGGTTGCGCCGTAAATTGCTACGAAAGTTACCGCATCTGACCACGTCAGAAGGATTACAGTTGGGGTTCGGCTACCCGCAAGGACTCGCAATTGTTTTTACTGATTGATTGATTGATATGTGGGGTTTAACGGATTGTTTTTACTGCGGCTGACATGACGCGGTTGTTCGGCTAGGGAAGCAGTATGGAACACAATGAGCGGATAATAAGACGGCGATAGTGGCTAGTTGGTACGCCTTCATGTTAGTGATGCGCAGCAAGGTATGAAAAACGAGAGACAACTCAGGGTGATGCGCAAACTGACCACTACTTTATTTCCATAATGGACACCCGTATGTATACGAGAGAAAAAAGGAACACGAAAAAAGGGGCTGGTCATCTTTGGATCAGACAGAGAGGGAAATTACGCAAGTATTTTGCACGCATATCAGTGAACGGTACGTCGGCTCCCTGTCGATCGATCTATGAAAAAGAAACTAACTTTTTTGAAGGAAACCACATCACCGCATATACGCAATTCTTGACAGGTTTGGGTGAGTTTGTTTGACACCCTGATATGTTTTCCTTGTCATATTTTTGTTGTGCTTTTTATCGCCGAATTCCTCCCCCTCCGCACTTTTCGAGTTCCTTTCTTTCTCGTACGAAAGGTTGCCCGTAATCGAAATGGCGTAGCTGTCTGCGCATCCCCATGTGTTGTTTCTCGTTTTTGGGGGGATCCGTGTCTTACCTTGAAGTGCATCACAGGCATGACGAACGGGTGTAAATCTTAAAGCATGGTCTGCCCTGATGGCATATGCAGTGATAATGGTGCTCGGCCACCGACCAGGATTTGTGGGCATCTGTACGCGGTGTGTCATCTCTCTCGTCTTCAGTATAACGTCGTCGTCCAATAACTAAACGGTAAATGGGCAAAAAGAAATTGTATCTGACGTAAAAAAAAAAGGTTAGTTGCCAAAAACTCCGGAAAGTTTCTACGACGCGCCGTCATCGCGCGCCACGTCACGCGCCATGCGCATTGTGAGCAGTGAGATATTCTTGAAAAAAATTGGCCCCGTATCTTCATGTAATACTGCAAATATCATCTGGAGAGAGTGAACAAAGCGTCTATTTGATGTTCTGCGCAAGAAAATCGGTGAATGGTATTCTGGAGGCGATGCGTCAGTGTGCCTCGAGCGTGCAGCGGAGGTTAACGAGCGCATGAAGTCACGTCACACGTGAGGCATGAGCGCCATCTGGCAGTTTCTTTTGGAAAACAAAGTGCGTGGCCGTGCGTGGCCGTGCGCGCCCGTCTCAGAGGCGATAAGGTGTAGAACGCGAGGCGACGGGTAGGTGCCGCCACCATCTCGTCTTACAAAAGCGTCGGAAACACTCGCCGTTCCGAGCAGGTGTTGCATGGTAAGCGCAGCGTGATAAGCGCTACGGTCCTTAAAATTACTTATGCATGCGGTTTCTAGCAAAAGATCCATATGCAGAATATATGCGTGTTATGGTGCCCCAGACATGCGCAAAAATTGCTTTTTAATTGACAATTGCACAAGCATGAACGCTCAATTTTAAGCAACATTGGTGTTAGCTGCGGATGGGGTCGGCCGTTTAGATTTGGGACATCATTAAGGGTGGACAAACAGACACATGAACAGACAGACAGACCAAAATTTTTCAGTCGAAGGTCCCCAAGAAAGACTACCGTCTTTAATAGGGTTCGCGAGTGTGTGTCTGGGTCACGGCTCGCGCTCTCTCCTCCTCGGTCACCGGGCCCTCTTTCTCCGTCGGCGTAGCGTCCGAAGCGCCATACAACGGCATGCAGCCGACACCCATGGGAATGACGCAAACTTAAGGCACAATATTCAGACATGGTGCGTAAGGCGTCTTGTCGTCTCTGACGAGTTTGTCTCTTTGTAGCATTAAATCGAGGATGTCATCATGATTAAGCCCGTGACACAAGTGACAGAGAGCAAAACTGACTAATTTTTTTATTGACAGAACAGTCCATCTTGTCCACAAATTGAAAAAAAAAAAGTTTTTTTTTCCACTGTATTAACTGAAGCTGCATGCGAAAACTGAACATGTAACCTTCGAATAACGCAGAACATCGATAACGTAGCATCGGACGCGTTTTTTTGGAAAGTCGCAGGTTCGGTGCCAGACAGCTGCAAGTTCCATTTTTATCCGCTTTCCCTTTCTTCACTTTTACATTGTAATTAGTAATAATGATATCCCTTATACTTTCCTTGGCATCATTATCTGTTGCTTGATATGATATGTGG